GGCCTTTGGGACGGCGGGTCCCTGCACCGGAGGCGTCTTGCATCCCCCGCGTAGAGCGCGGCCTCGCGCAGGGGCCATCGTCGTAGGTGTCAGGTTCCCGGGGCGGTGAACAAAGAGAAGAGGGCCGGGCGCCCCGCCACTTAGCCCGAGGCTCTGCACCCACCCGTGTCGTCCCCACGCATGGCTTGTGCCGTTGGTTCTCTCCCTCAGCGCCCTGAAACGACAGAAAAAAGCCATCCGGTTCCAGAAGATTCGGAGGCAGATGGAGCCGCCGGGGGCGCCGCCCAGGACTCTGACGCGGGAGGCCATGGCCCAGATCCGGTAAGGCCGCCGCGCGCGCCGGGGACCGGGTCGCTCTTAATACGTCTTTTTTAAAAAATAATTTAGGGTTTCTTTAAAGTAATTTAACGATTTTGCATAATCCCGCCATCTTGGTTGAATGGTTTTTAACATTGTGACGCATTTTGCTGAAGCTTTAAAAAAATAAAAAGGTCAGTTGCAGAAAGTCGCAACGTTTAAACCCTAAAGCAGTAAATCGGGACGTTCTTAACCTAAAGGTCCAGGGACAGGAGCTTCCGCGGTTGTGCACGTTTTTTTCAGGAGCGGGATCCGTGTCTTAGAATATCGTAGAGAGGTCCTTGTTTAAATCTAAGGTTTTTATTGTTTGTTTTGAACAGGTTACATATGGCGCAGAATTGGATCAGAATAGTGTATACACATTGAGAAATAGTAATTCCAGCCGAGCTCCTGCGGGTGCTGTTTTTAACCATTTTGGGGGCCTTTCTCCAGGTTTTCTTGTGCAAATACAGCAATTATGAATACAGATTTTTATTCTCACCTTAGTCACAAACAGTGGTATACTATACATGCTGTCTATGCTTTTTCCCCACTTAATATCTTCCCACTTCAGAGGCAGAAGTTTTTCATTCTTTTGTATAGAAATCTTAGTAAGTCATCTTTTAGTTAACCAGTCTTTTATGACGGCTACTTGGCTTGTTTGCACTTGCTTGCTATTGAAAGCAGTGCTCCAGTGAATAACCGTACACACATATCTACTGGCCATAGTTGTTTCATATGTTCCCAGAGGTACAGTTGCTGGGTCCAAGGGCAGATTGATCTGCTAAATAACCCTCCATCGGTTATGTGCCATTTTTAATTTTGATCAGAATGACTCTGATCTCCCTGGTGGGTGCTCACAGCATCCTCTGCTGTGACACTTATCACAGTGTTGTGTTAATACATCTGTCTCTGCCACTGATTGTATCTTCTTTAAAGGGAAGGACAGTCTTCATGCATTCCCCAGGTTCTAACGGGCTGGTGTTCAGTGGGGGGAGGTGAGTTGATGTGAAATAAAGTGCTCTGAGTGGTTGGGTGTTGCTGTTGGCACACAGGAATGGAACACATCCTACATTTGGACCTACTCTTACATATTTACTACTAATTTACCAGTGAGCTCTTCAGACAGACTTTTTGACAACTTGAAAAACTGCTTCGTTTCCCTGTAGGTATTTACGTGAAGAATTTCCAGAGTCCTGGTCAGTTCCCAGATTGGCTGAAGGCTTTGACGTTAGCACCGATGTGATCAGAAGGGTTTTAAAAAGCAAGTTTGTGCCCACATTGGAGCGGAAACTGAAGCAGGACCAAAATGTCCTTAGGAAAGCTGGGCTTGCTCACTCGCTCCGCCAGCTTCCAGGCTCCGTGGATACCGGGAAGCTGCTCTCTGTGTCAGGAGGTGAAGCCTCATCCCAAGGCCAAGGTCACAGCACAGCTTTGAAGGTGATAGAACCAAATATTCACAGTACAAACACACCAAGGAGACAGAAGGAAAGGAATAAAGGAATCCAGGGCCTGGAAAAGGAGAGCTTTGTGCCTGTTGCTGCAGCCCGAGGTCATCAGCGAGAGCTGCAGAAGTCCTCCACCTGTGACAGTGAGGGCACTAGGGGCACCAACAGTGATGGACTGCCAAGTGCGAAGAAACTGGAAAAGTTGAAGGCAGGAGAACTGGGTGACCAGAACTTCAGCAGCAAAGTAGTGCAGAGGGGGCGAGAGTTCTTTGATGACAATGGAAACTTCCTGTACAGAATCTGAACTGGAGCCTGGCTTGTGGAGGTGGCATGTCAAATACAGCTGGGCAAGTGTATTTGAGCTGCCTGGATTTCTGTGTATTGATTATCCACCTTGGAATAAGAGGAAGCAAGGAGTCCGAAAATGGAGGAAAGGGACAGTGGGCTTCACAGGGCAGAAGTGTATGGGGGCAGCGTGAATTACTGGCTTGGTATAGTCTAGCTTCCTGGAGCATGGCTCCTGGCCTGACCCATGTGAATATTCAGTACTTACCTTCTTCCTTAGCCTCCCTGTGTGTCAAAACCAGCCTGTGTTGCATGTGTTAGGAGTTTCTGTTATACTTGCAATATGTGTTTAGGGGGATTGAAGTTTGCCTTCTGACTTTATTTACTTCTTGATTAATGAACACTAACAGTCCTGGAACTGCTTAGTCAATTGGTAGTATTCATTATGTGCAAAATAAAGTGAAATGTAGCAGTGTGTTGATTGGTGCTCTGTGGGGTGGGAGGGTTTACCTGTGAACCTGGAGGAAGGGAAGGGAAGAGGCAAAGGGTCCATTGTCTTTAACATTGGGAGGGAGATGGGGCCACAGGGATCCCCAGCAGAGACCTTAGGGCCAAGCTCAACAGGCTGTGAAACTGGAGGACAGAAGAGACTTAACTTCTAGATGAGCTCTTGAAGCCCAGTATGAGCACAAAAGATCATACTGGGCTTCAAGATTGCTTAATCTTACAGAATTTTTCAAATGTATGAAAGTAGAGAAAATAATGTAATGCGATGAACTCCTGTGTACCCGTCACACAGCATTAACATTTAATAAATGGCCAATCTTTTCATGATCCTATACTTGCCCCACATTTCCCCTTGGCTTAAACTCCAGACATTTCATCTATAAGTACTTATGTATCCCAAAGACATAAAGACTCCTTTTTAGCCCAGATACGTAAGCCATTGCTATAACTTAGGTTTTAGTAACTCCTTTATTTCAGCAAANGACTCCTTTTTAGCCCAGATATGTAAGCCATTGCTATAACTTAGGTTTTAGTAACTCCTTTATTTCAGCAAATACCCTGATAGTATTCTGTTTCATAAGTGGTTTTTATGGTTTATTCGAATTAAGATCCAAACAAGGTCCACACTAACACTACATTGTGTTAATAAGTTTGGAAAGTCTCTTACCCTAAAGTGGTTTCCTGTTCCACTTTTATTTCCTTCACCATTTGACGGGTTCTTTATCCCATGTGATTTCCTTCATTTTCATTTCATCACCATGATGTCTTATAACATGTTCTCATTACCTTCTGTTTCCTATGAACTGGAACCTCCTCTTGAGGCTTGATCAGGCCAAGTTTCTGGCAGTGGGTGGTGCTCTGTACTTCTGTGCATCTCACCAGATGAGGGTGTGATGTTACAATTAGTGAGTTCAGGTTATTGTCAGTGGATCTATCCCTTAGGACTCTAACAAGCTTCCCCCCCCCCTTAAAATAGATATTTCCATGACCCCTGAAAATTCCCTACTTTTCTAGCCGATGAGACCATCCCAAAGTCAATCCCTTTTCTGAAAAACTTTACACATAGGTTGGTTTGTCCAGTTCCATCATCTTAAAATGGCATCAGACAGATGCCACTCTCGGGCTTCTTTCACTCATTTATTTTCATGACTATGCCACAGTCTATCCATTTTCCCACGAAGGGCATTAATGAGCCAAAACGCCGATATCTAAAGGTCACAGCCGGCAGGACTTCACCCCAAGACCACTCCCCTCCCAGTGTCTCCTGCGACTCGCAGCCGGGGAGCTCGCGGCTGCACCGGGGGAGGTTTGATTGACAGCCGGGGTCCCCAGCGATCAGCGCCCTGCACACCCATTGTACCAACACGTGAAACTCCAGCAACTGCCCAACCCTCGAGGATAATTGGGTGGCGCCCCTTAAACCCGAGTTTCATCCTAGGCACGCTCCCCTCTGGCCGGAAACGAGACTGCGACGTCGACGCGTCAACTTCCGTTCCAAGTGTCCCTTCCAGGACGCCGTCGGCTTCCCGACACGCCACGCGCCGGTTGGGCGAATGGGACTTCCGGAAGGTGCCGGAAGTCGCTTCTGCCTGGCGAGAGGCGGGGTTCTCCCTGCAGCCGAGGATCCCAGAGTCCCGCCGCCCCGCGGACCGGAGCGGGGAGGGCCGGGGTCGGGACGCGGGGGTTGCAGGCCCGAGCCGAGTGTGTCCCGAGGCCGCCGCTCCCCGGCCGGGAGGTGGCCATTCAGCCCCCGAGCGCCGCTGAAGAGCGAGGGCGCTTCCTGGGCCCAGGCCTGAAGGGGGAGCCCCCCCGGTGCCTGCCCTGGGCTGCAGCCGGCGCCCCGAGGGCGGAGGGCGACCCTCCTCTCACACCCCGCGGCCATGGCTTTCCCCCATCGTCCGGACGCCCCAGAGCTGCCCGACTTCTCCATGCTCAAGAGGTTGGCCCGAGACCAGCTCATCTACCTGCTGGAGCAGGTCAGTGCCCGCCAGGCCGGGGCCTCTGCTGCACCCGCTGGGCTCATGATTCCTTCTCCTTTGCAGAGTCCCCTTGAGCTTCTTCTTGGCCTTTGGTATTATTATCGTTGGAGCTTCCGTGGCAGATCCAAAATGAAGCACTCGGGGTGTGGTGGGGTGTGGACGGGGGACAGAGGGCAGTCACAGCCAGCTGCCTGGGACCTGGCCAGAGAGTTCGTGGAAATCCCTTTCTCCTGTACAGGCAGGGGCGACACCACCCGAGCCAGGCACCGCGGGGATGGGAAGGTGGTTGAGACTTCGTTGTTATTAGGGAGCTCACACTCCAATAGGAGCCATAACACGGGGTGAATGAGTGATAGCCAGGGTGCCCGAAGCGTTCAGAATAAGCAGTCACTTCTAGCCTGAGCCATCTGGGAATTTCAAGGAGCTGGAACGTGAAGAATAGTCATGTTTTTCTTGGAGATGGAAGGCCATGGTTCCTGGCAGGTGGCTGGGTAAGAGGAGCAAAGTGGAGGGCCCGGGAGAGGAGGGGGCATGCACAGGGAAGAGAGCGATCCGACGTTACACAATAGGCAGCCGCTGGTATTTTCCCCATCTGGGGCATGGAGCAATACTCGGTGATTCTAACAGCCATAGATATGGGTGTGGAGGCAGGTACATGGGCAACAGGTCGGCCCATTCGGAGAGCATCGGTGAGACCGAGGTAACAAAGGCCTGCACAAAACTAACGACACTGGGAATGGAGGGAAATGATGGAATTTTAAGTCCTGGTGAAAGAAGATTCAGGGACATATTGACCGGTTGTAAAGGTTGAAGGGGAAGCAAAGCTGAGTTTGAGGGTTTTTTTTAAAACTTGGGTTAATTGTAAAATAATGCTGCTAGTACCCTTGTAAACGTAATTGTTACATACATGGTTACTTGTTTAATGACGTTCCCCACTGCATTGGAAGGCCCTGGAGGACAGGGAACGCGTCCGTTTTGTTTAACACTCTATATACCCCATGAGTACCTAGCTTAGAGTCAGGCACATAGAATGTTGCCGCGTGAATATTGAATGGAAATAGGAAAAACAAAGAAAAGAATTAGAAGTACAGGTTCGGTGGGGAAAGTTGGTTAGTTTGGGTTAGAATAGGGTGAAGTGAAGATTCGCGGGTAGGAAACACTGCTTGTAACGTCCAGCAGATGGAGACGTAGAGCTGCAGCTGGATGAATGTGGAGACTTGGGAGAAACTCAGGGGATTTGGGACCGTATTTTATTTCTCTTTTCCGTGCCCTGATTCACACATAAAAGACACCCAACAAATGTCAGGAGTTGAAGAGATGCTAGTTAAGGCCACTAGCTCAGGTGAGAGCCACATGGAAGAGAGTAAATGAGACCGAGGAGAAAAGCTTGTAAATGCTGTGTAGATGAGGACGAGTTGCCACCACGGGGTTGCTGGAGGCAGAGTGGAGGAGGCCGTGGAGAAGAGGGACAGTGGTGCAGAACAAGGCTGCAGGCTAGCAGGAGGGCTGAGTGACAAGGAGTTAACCTTAGAAAGATGGTGACATAGTTTTCTGCTGGTACAGAAAATGAGAAGACGAGTGACTATATAGAGAAATGTCAGCTGTTTATATGTTATCATCAGTGAGTGAGGTGCTGGGGTAGATGATGTCTGGCACCCTTCCAGCTCAGAGACTGTGCTTCTGTTAAACGAATGGCTGTCCCCTGCTGGCGTGGCTCACTGGTTGAGGTCATGGTTTGATTCTTGATCAGGGCACATGCCTGTGTTGCGGGCTCAATCCCCAGTAGTGGGTGTACAGGAGGCAGCCGATCAGTGACTCTCATCATTGATATTTCTCTCTCCCCCCCTTCCTCTCTCTGAAACCAATAAAAACATTAAAAACAAAAAAAAACCCACAAAGGTATGGCTGCATGAGCTCTTAGCCAAGGGAGCTCATGACGTGCGAGTGACCCAGGATACTATGTCTCCTTCAGCTTCCAGGAAAGAAGGACTTGTTCATTGAGGCAGATCTCATGAGCCCTTTGGATCGAATTGCCAGTGTCTCCATCCTAAAGGTACCTGCCCTTTCTTCCAGGTCGCCTCAGGCCACTCCTTCCTCGTTAAGCAGTTTTTCTTTTGTTGAACAGTACAAATTATTAAGGAGTGACTACCCTTACAGGGTAGCTGGACGGGGTGCAAAAAGGGGGATCAGTGCTGTTGTCTGTATTGTTTTTTGAATTATTTTATTTTTGGTTTATCTGCTGACAGTTTGAGTAAGGTTCAGTGAATGGTTGTCAGGGAGGCAGTTCGGTTCCCAGAATTAGCATAAATAGGAGCCCTAGTCCCCCGTTTTTGCATCACGTTTTGGGTTTTCAAACCCCCTATGCGCCATGCCTTGTGGCTTCTCTCTGCAGCAACACGAAGTAGACAAGCTGTACAAGGTGGAAACCAAGCCGGCCCTGAGCTCCAGCGAACAGTGAGTGTCTGGGGGAGTCAGACTTGGCTCCACACCAGGGATGTACCGCACTTTGCCCCTAATGTGTTTGTGGCTGAGATCCTGTACCGTGGTGTCTGTGATACAGTTCCCCTCCCTGCCACTGATGTTTCTCTCTCTCCCCCTCTCCGTCTCCCTCTTTCTCTCTCTCCCTTCCTCTCTCTGAAATCAATAAAAACATGTTTAGGAAAAAAAAGAGCTGGCCTTGTTTTGGTTTCTTCACATGGAGCCATCACCAGCCTCCTGACTTTCCTGCACTGAGTTTCCTTTCCCCTTCTCCCCCATAGATTGTGTTTCTTGGTCAGACCGCGCATCAGGAACATGCGATACATCGCCAGTGAGTATGTCACGGCGCAGCGAGCGCGTAGCCAAGATCTGGGGAGGGGTGGGGGAGATCTCAGGGCCTCGGCCATAAGGACCCTTCGTAAGAACAGAAGTGTCGGAGTGGCCAGGCCACGGGTGGAGGGTATCTGCTTCCTTGTTCCCCTCTCTGCAGGTCTTGTCAATGCTGACAAGC